GGCCAGAGTCACTGTCCGTGAGCTCTGCGGACTCGTTGAAATCTAAATATTTAATTAACACGTCATCATCACTATAATATACAGACATTACGATATAATGATTATTATTATCTAATGCCATTTCGTACAGGCAGCGCGTGTATTAGGTACTAATATGGGTTTTTTATACGACTTTTTTTTCCCCCCCGTTTAATCCGACAGCAGAGGAGGATCTGTATGAACACTACTACTCCTCTGCAGCCATCTTTTATTAATGTTTAATAAAAACGCTAATACATACACATACTTAACACATAACTATAATTATTGTTGCTGCACCTTAAAAATAAAAAATATTAAAACAATAGATACAATACAATTATACGACTTACCGCCGAGAGTTGTGTCAGTTTATTGTGTGTTGGTATACACCCGACACACCAGCAATAATTGATTTCATATCACTTTCCGCGCAAAACRTGTTGTACAGTAGATATTTAGCCGTATTGCCGTGTTTTTYCTAATGAATTTCGAGCTCAGCGCTATCTAGCAACTAAAATTTAAAGTAAATGACCCAAGACCTTTATTGTATTTGATGAAATATTCATCACGATCATCACTTTAAAGTAAAATATCACAAATCCAGGAATTTTGATTGCTTTTAAATACAAGCATCTTGTCCATCGACCTATGGTAATGCAATAATACTTTTTAAAACTGATTTGAAATCGTTATAGTGTTTACTTAAGATCGGTCAGTCCACTTTTCCCAATTTCACCCCTCTTCACTCTCACACCCAAACAACTATAAATTTAGATTGAACATTTTTAAATGATCAAACGTTGATTTTTGGAATTTATATTAGAAACCTTGCGAACACATACTGATCTCAAGTATACATCATAACGAATTCTTGAAGTTTTCTGTAATGTGGGCCAAAAATAATCCATATGCGCCCTAAGCAGTATTGCCAGTACCCCGTAAAATCGGTACGGTGAAGGGTAATTATTAAGTATTCGAAAATCGAATTAATTATTTAATCGCAAACACGAGTGGTCGCGAGAACGAGACAAAGGATAAATTACAGGCATGCAGCGAATCACAATAGAATAATAAAAACAAAAAAACAAAAAAAATCATTTATATTATAGCACCAAGAAGGTTCACTATATATCATTATATTCGTTTCATTAAAATCTGTACAACACACACACACACACACACACACACAGGGTTTCTATAATGTTTTTATAATACAAGACAATATTTCATGTTAGATTTAACAATACATTTCACTAAAAATATTTACAGTAAATGCATAACAAGGATAAATATTAAGGCTTTTAAAATTAATAATAAAATAATATCGAGCTAAGATATATATTTTCATTATAAATCATCTCTGCACAGAGGTTTAAGGGGTACGCGTGCGCGCGCGCACACATATTATGATAATATAATATTTATAGTATTACGGATAGTGTTATGATTAATATTATTTCAGTTTTATTTGTTTACATTTTTATATTCGTTACGTTTGTCGCCCACGCGACCTATGCGCGATCACGATCGGATAAACGTTATCTCGACCGAAGTGRCGAATGATGCTGTGGGTGGGCGCGGGCCCAACAGCAGTTTGATTCTCTTGACAACAATATAAATAAAATAATATCGTTATCGTTCGCATTTTATAAATAATTAAAACTACATATATATAAGAATATGATAAGAATATCCTAACCGCACGTCATGTCGGAGCAAACCAAAACAATATTATTGCGTCATAATTGATCGTGTTACAATCTAATGATATTATGTTTAGACGGGGAGTCGCAAGATAGGAGATGGACGAAAGAGCGACAGGTGTCGTCGACCAGATAAGACTGTCGTCGTTTYGGATGGTTTTAAATCGAAAACACAACAATATTACCGTGTTTGAGTCTCTGTTTTTTTACACGAAAAAACTATAAAACACACACACGCACGTTGTTCGAAAGCAAATRAGTACATATTATATAGTATTATAAGACACACACTCAAACTCACATATCAGTATAGAGCCGATGCGGCTTCGAAGAAGGACACGAACGAGTGGTTTATGGGCGGATTTGAGGGTGGTGGGAGGAGGGGGTTTAGAAGTGATAATACGTGAGACGTTCCGATTATAGAGATCTGGCGGGCTAACCCCGTTTAAATCGTTTCAGTCGATTTTTTTAAATATTATCCTACCAAGTTTTCCTCGAACCACACGCGCATGCTCAAACGCATACTAATAATAATAATGGTTTTACAATATTAYATTTATATATTYTATGGATTTCGTCTTATCTACAGTAACGTGACCTACCAGCAATTGTAATTTATTTTAGTTTATTTTAATTTTTTACCGCACCTATCTCACACACACATACATATTATATTATATATATATATAAAATTAAATTATAATAATATATTACTATGTAACATGACGTGTTTTCAACGCGTTAATATAAAACGTTAAAAAAAATATATATAATTTTTTAGTCTTCGAGGGTTTCCTTGAGCGCTCGCAGCTGTTCCTCGCCCAGCTGTATTTTGTCGGCGATCTCGCGGGCGTCGATCAGCAGCTTGGCTTTCATGGCGATGAAATGATCGTAGTCCGAGTACTCGTCGGCCGTCAGATAGCGGCACAGAATGTTCGACACGAAGTCTCCGCGCCTGTCGATGTTCTCCTTCAGCTCTTTGGCCTCTTCGAGTTGACCGGTCAGCTTGCACTTTTTCTCCTCCAGCGCCTTCTGCGGGACGACAAACAGGAGAAAAACGTTGTTATTATTGTTTCCATCAACATCGATATCATAATAATATTATCACATCAGGTGAGGGTTGGGGAGGGGGTGGTGGTCAGGAGGCCCCACGTGGTTCTGGGGCCCGGACTTTCAAGGAGTCCGGCATTCGTGTAAACAATTAATTCAATAAATTATTATATTAAAAAAATGTTTCAAAATCAGTACTGTTATTAAAGAAGGACCCGGATTCAATTAGGACCAAAAATATGATGTTGGGGGCCTGTAAAATGTTGCCAACAAGACTCTATTCACGATGGTGGACTGCAAAAAAAATATTGAGCCCTACTACGATAATTAACCACCAAATAGATAACGCTGCGAAGCATGAGCATCCTCAGGGGCATCATGAGATGGGGCACTTGCAGCCTCCTCCTTTAGTACTTTAAATTTGTCTTCCAAAACATAATCAGTAACGCGTGCCTAGTAAACATAGATTACTTTTATGAAATGTTAAAAAAAAATGTTCATTGAATTTTTAAATTAATTTTGTCCCCCTCCCCCAAGAAAAATGTCTATGGACGCCCATACAGTGATGACATAAGGTAAACAACCGGAGAAAGATTCAATTACACAGCACATTTTGCAGATAAATGTGACGGTCGACGATGGAAATATTGAAGATGGAACAGCCGGTACAGACTTAATGATTACCATAATAAGCGATATTTTTCGACTACTGTATTTCCACACCGAGCACACTCCCTGCGTAAAGTGCGGAGGAAGGGAATAAATATCATTAAATTGTGTTTGAAATAAAACCAAGAAACACACACGGGTGAGGTTTTTTTTCTAGTTCAATATAGATTTACTGTATACACACGTCATTTACGATACCGCATGAYATATTGCTATTATAATGTATATTGYTAATGTCTGCAGCCCGTTCAATATGATTAATTCAAGGGTTAAAAATTAATGTGCCAATCGCGTGCCACTATACATATACCGTGTCATTATGGGAGACAACATTAATTCCATATCGATTCTTTTTATGAACTTTCATGCAACCAARCACGAGAATGATGGGAAAAAATAAAAAAACATACATTACACTACTACAGTAAAAAAAAAAGAATACCGTAAATAGAGAATTTCGGTTACGATATTTTACGGTGGTTTACGATGCACGCACGGTCCCTAACAATTATTATCATTATTAATGTTCACCTTTTCTGAATTGTCTGCGTCCAAGTCCAGCAGTGCGTTTTCCGCTCTCGCCAAACGTCCGCTCAGGCTCAACAGCAAACTGGTAATGTGGCCCACTTCCTGTACGTGAGTTTTGAACTTGTTGGCCTCCTGAGGCTTGGCCACGGACTTAACGCGGTCGGCCACCGATACCCCCAGAGTCTCGTTCAGCGCCGCCTCTTCGGCTAGCGCGATTTGTTCGTCTCGGAGTACCTTCAGCTTTCTGTCCAGCCGCGACACTAGGTCCGCCTGAAAAATTGTTTAACCGGTTAGTTGAAGTGTTGTAGATGGCGTCCTTTTTTTAGAAAAAAATAAAAATCGTTTCGACGAAAATAAGTTCATGTTAGATATTTTTCACTCACCTTTTTCTTTTGCAAATTTCCGATCCCGTTGCATTCGCCCGGTGACGATTGTATCTGCCGGCTGTAATGCTGCAGATTCAGGAGTTTCGCCTTCGGTTCGGACGTGGTGTAGTAGGATGAGTTGGCCGACAGTCCGGTGACGGTAGTAGTCGATGAGGTGCTAGTTGAGGAGGTGACTGGGCCGCTGCAAACAAACCGTACAAAAATTCAAAATACATAATCCATCTCAGATTTTTAATTTTTTTTTTAAAAACCAAAAAACCCAAGTAGGTGGGGTATAATAACAATAATTATAACACTGAGGAGACGCACTAGATAAAATAATAGAAACCATTTTCTAAAACAATATTTAAAAVAAAATACGAAGTAGGACAAGCTAAGCCGCGATAGACGATACACGTGTAACGTTATTACATTGACTATGCTGCAGAGATAACAATGTGGGTTACAAGACTGTATTGATGGGTTGCACATATCTATAGGGGAACTCAGCTGTCCCGTATAATAATAATAATATAACTTAATTATTAAGGTCTTCAGCAGCAGCTATGACGTTCGTGTCGCCGTTATAAACATATTACAACATTATAAACGTCTGTGGTGCGGGCCATATAACGAAGCCGATAAATATTATAATGTATGGTAATTATTCGAACGGGACATATTCTGTTTGATGATCATCGCCCCGTATAAAATTCTATACGATACGAGAACACTGCCAATAACGAATTAACGACCGATACTCGGTTTAATGTACTTTAGGGAAAATTAAAAAAAAAAAACACGATTGATATGACATACAGATACAAATAATATTAAGTGTTTTTATGGGTTTATATTATATGAGTAGCTACGTAGTCACGCATTAATAAATAACTTGTACTAATACCAAATCACTCTGTAGACTCTGTAAAACTAATCCAAAATCACGAATCATATTATTTAAATCAGTTCTTAAAAAAAAAATATTTACCTAAATATTATTTTTGGTTTCATTTTAACGCGAAGTCGACATTGGCCAATGGGAGAAACGTGTGAAATGTTTAACCTAATGAGGCCGGAGTTGATCGACGATTACAGGTTACATATTATTTTCATTTTATTAGGTATGCATTTCATACAGAAAAATAAATCGCGACCGGATGAGAATAATTCAACGGTATTCTCAAGGTGCTCGCACCGCACGTACTAATCAGACACCACATGCGTGTACATTGGTGTACGCCTAAAGAAAGCACCACTCATTCGGAATGATTCAGAATAAAAGTGATAAGCTAAATAAAAAAATAAAAAATCAACAATGTCTACGCGATGAGGAGTGTGTGTGTGGCGGCAATAGAGATAAGACACATTGTACACATAATGATAAATATGTGATGATAAAATGTCATATACAAAACATATATATCTATAGAAGGTATATAGATCAACGTGAAATAAATAAATTATAGAAAGATTTGGAGAGGTACCATAAATCAAAATGCAAAGAAATCTAAAATCATTTTATTGTTGTTTAATGGACAGACTCGGGGTGCACATTAAAATAAAATTGATTTACAGAATTTTGATGTTGCATTATTTAGTTTTTAGTTTTTTAATTTTTTAGTCGATCGACTTTAAATCATTCAATATTTCAATACGAGTATATGCACGCACACCGTGGTGTTCTAAATCTTGCAGGTACAACGACGATATCTTATATTCTTCCGAGACATTTTTTTTTTTTTTTAACGAGATTTAAGCGGTATGTTTTTCGACTTGTGTCGGAATTTCAATACGGGAGAAGCATAACATAATAATTTAATATGTGTCGTTGAATTCTGTTGGATTATCAGCTCTATTAGTCGGAGCAATATCAGAGAGCTGTTAAGTATATCACGGCACACGGTTGTTACGGTCTGAGGAGGATTATTCCGAAGCTAAAACGGGTAAGTAGGTAGGTACATATTATATAATATATAATAAGAAGGATCGTCGTTAAACAATATATTCGAACGTTTTTGTATATATGTTGTCTGTACGTCATATTATATGTAACTACTACGACGGATGAAGTGTCGTAGTGTACACACTACTTTACATATTATTATTCCTTTGTGTAATTTACGCATACATAATTCCGTCACATTATCATTATACCTGCATTTWTTATTATTATTATTATTTTATTTTAACTCGACCTCCGTACAAAGCACATGAAATTCGACACAAAAATCGAATAATTCCCATATTATTATATAATATCACCGACGTACAACCACACGGTGGCGATCAGTCGTCGACACTCGATAATTCTGCAAATTCACATAGCTCGTGTGATGTCGATAATAATGTGTCATGACGTCGTACAAAGACGTACGTAGACGAGGCACCTATTATTGATTACGAAACGACGATAAAAATAACCTTTTGGTATGAATGATCGTGTATCACATTAATCTATTATATTCAATTGTACATACTGCACGCACAGCGGTAAGTGCCTACTAATAAAAATATTAATTAGTTTATAATTGTTATTAGTATAATTAATAAACTATTGTATAATTATAGCGTGGGACTGAGTCAAATGAGAAAATACGTCAAAGTCTGCCAAGCATATAAGCTCGAAAATAAATGAACAAAAATGCGTTATTTTTTTCAGTTTTATTGCATATTATATGCATTCGCTGTCAACTTATATACATATACATACATACATATTATATATAGTCGAAATATTTCCGTTTAGAAATGAGTCGTCGAGAAGACATTATAATATAGGTAATGTGTATTTGAAAACGGATAATTGTATCGGATATATATCTCACAAAACGATGTAGTGCATAGAGTTCGCTTAGAGGGAAAGAAACATCAGTACCTATATATATCATGATATATTTAAGAAAAATGAACCACTCGACTTACCACATGGCGTCACTACTACTGCAGCAGTCTGTCAGTTTCTCGGCGACCGAAGTTCTGGACCGGGGCACCAAGTCCATGCGGAACAGCGGAGAAACGTAGTCTGTAGAACGTTTGACGTCCGGTCCGGGAGCTGAAACACAATAGACATGACGAGGTCAGAATTAGCGGATATCCTAGAGGCGTACGCGAATAACGGATTTACCTTTGTCCTTTTTCTCTGCGCGCCAGAAAGCAGCAAGGAAACGAATATAACACATTACAGATTATAATAATGGCAATAATGCACACGGTTTTCGCCAAAAGGAACGCAAGTTAATGGTTTTATTAAAGAATTTGGTTGTACTTAAATACCATATAGATGGATGAATGAAAAATGGGAAAAACTGGTATAAACTTTGTGTTGAGCAAAACGATAGTATTTTTCCAAGTGTGGCCAACATGAATTACGTCCACGAGCCACATGGATAGGTAAATATAATCGATATAAAAAGCCAAAATGTTTATAGATTTTATAATTTTATCGTTAATAAGTAAGTATTGGTTTTTTTTTAATAAAAGATGAGCCGCAAGTGTGCCACCGCTGGCGTATGCGAAAAAATCGATTGAATTAATTTCAGAATATATCTATTACATAATAATCCTTTTACTTTTTGGTAATATATATTTTTTTTTTTTATGATTCTAGACAATTTTAAATCCGTTTAAAACGAACCGACGGATATATGATAATGTTATACAATTTATTATACTCTTATACTATAGTATACTATTGCGGATATCGAGTCATAAATTACCTATATAAGAAGAATGCAATTGGGTTCGGGTACCTGTATTGGTG